TTGACACGAATTGAATTCAAGTCGCAACAATCACCTCACAATAAAAATATTATAGAATTGACCCAGATTTGACACAAATTGATTGATGATTTTGTGTTAAATAGCTTGTATCAAAGTTCTTTTTAGCACGAATTTGTCATATCTTTGCTAAATCTTCTATGAATTTTGAAACATTTTGTCAAAAATATTTGCCATATTCTTTTTGTAGTGCCTGATCCGAGCTTTTTCTCTGGCAAAATAAAACTTTATTCTGATCAAATCAAATCAAATCATTACCTAATAGAGTTAATAAAGTAAATATGACATTGACAATGTACATTTATTTTTCTCGAAAGAGGCTTATATTGATATCACAACATTCATATACGAGTTAAAAAGAGAAAAAGACCGTTGACAACCGCCGACCCTCGAACCAGACTCAGAGTTAACTACCTCTAGAGAAGCAATATAACTCATTGATCCATTATTGGGCGCAACTGAGCCAAAGACGGTAAAAGCAGACCTCCCATCGGCCATCACTCAATCTTAATGCAAGAGTCTTACAACAATAAAAGTAACCAATAGAAAAATAACAAGGATGATCATGAAAAATAAATTGCAAGCAAACATTAAAATTAAAAAGCTGCTTCCAAACCCTAGATTCTCTTGCACTCCATGGCGGCGGTTCCGGAGGGGGACGATCCAGCAGTATTGTTGCTTTTTCCTCGACTTGCCTCTTATTCATCATGTTCTCTATAAAGCCTCATATGTCGCCACCTAACACGGATGATCTCGAATCCAGATCTGTTCCAGCTTCTAGCCCCACGCTTCGTTCATGACCATTGGCAGCCAGAGACCAAACATTCGTCTTCCGTCCCTGCACAACCTTCAACCGCCAGAGACCAAGCATCATCTTTCTCCCGCTTAATCTCGACAAAGCAAAAGAAGAAAAATAGCCGCACAATTAATAGTGGAAGAAAAACCCCCTATACTGATGGCTTTGTTGCTAAAAGATGGTCACTTTAATAATATAATTTGCACACTTTCTTTTAACGCTTTCAATCAAATAAATGAAATTTAGAACAATTTTATCACATTCAACTACTTCAGCCACTGTACCTTATTGTGTTCCAATACAAATATCCTTTCATTTCATCTACTTTTTATTTGCTTCTATGCTTTAGTTCAACATATTTGCTGTATTTTAAAGTACACGTGTTTTCATTCAAATTCATTTTTCTAATCAAATTTGATCTAGTTTGACCGCTTAGTGTTTGTTATAGTTTAATCTTTTGTTCGTTTAAATCAAGTTTAAAATGCTTATGACTAGAACCACTTGTCCACTTCATGTGAAAACATTATTAAAAGATAAAGATAGCACGATTTACAACTCATCGAGCCTGTTTTGTACAAGTTGGCTATGATTCTATTGAAATTTGTGAAGTTCCGGTTGAAGTAGCTGCATTGACAGATTCTGCTGATTTAAGAAAAAAATATTTTTAAAATATATTTTATTAATAAAATAAAGAAAAAATTATATGTAAAAATAGCTAAAATGATCATCTACAGTAACTTCAGCCAATACAGCCGGAAAAGTAACCTCAACCTTACTTTTTCTGCTCATTACACAACTCAGCGCGAGAAACAAAAGTTACGTGTTTGATGAAAAAGTTACTTGATAAGTCTGATATGCCGAAAAACAATGTTGCCAAACGGCCTCGTCATATACTTTGTCGTTGCTCTTGAGGTTGGAGATTCAATTTTTTTGAAACAAATTACTAAAACACATAACTTTACGTGCATTAAATGTAGAACGAACTAAATTAATTCGGATAATTGGAAATCATTTTGGCCAAATAGATTATTGTCAAAAAAACAGAAATTCAGAACATGTTTGAATATTAAATGATGATCTTTCGCATTTTCAATCCTATAAAAACCTCTTAAATTACAATGCATAATTTTACAGTTAAAAGCAGAAGCTAGAGATCATAAACTTTAGATAAGAGATGAGGCTTCTAACCGTTTGTACTTTCGGTCTTCAATTTGGATATGATTAGTGGAAATGGTTGCTTGAAATAAAATTAATGCCTTGCAATTGTGGCGAGATTGTGGGAGTACGCATCACACGCTCCGACATCGTTGACTTTTGGCGTTGACAGTCAATATCAAAAAAATTAGGGCAATGGCTATGCTATTTGAGAAGTTCTTCCTCTACGCACCAAATGTGTACACGCCAGTTTCAGTTTTTTTACATGTTTATAAAGACACTTATTTTAAAAGTTTGCATTTTTTAATTAGTTGTCTATGTAGACCAAAACTTAGGAAGAATCTACATAAAACGCGTAAAATGACATGTACGAAGCCACGAGAGGAAGATCTACATATAGGCTATAATGGACTAAAACGCGGGACAACCTATTCCTTTTCAATTGTTTAGTGTATTTTTTTTCATTTTTTATATTTAGCATATCCTTTAATGTTTAATCCTAATATAATTACAGTGAAATCCAAATTCATGAATATGCTCCTGACATGTAGAAATAGTTTTTGCCATGCTATGTGTAAATGCATCTATTTTTATATGGAGTACAACTTTTGTCCATCTTTTTATATATAGATAACATTTTGGTTCTTTGTCATTTTGTATTTAATTAGGACATGCGAATTTGTTTATGTGATAATACAAATCTATCTTGCTAACATTGTGGAATATTAGTTAGCCTAATAACGAAGCTAATGAAAAGTTGAAGTCGTCATTCTCACAACTTATAGCTACACAATTAATTTGATACCTTTAAGCAACTTCAAAGGATGCTTCTTCAAAGTCCTTATCTTCTCTCACAAGCTATATATGTATCTTCCAAACAGCTAGCGTTGCATTTTTAAATCCCAAATTATTTCACTCGGTGTCCTATATATATTAATAATTAATTCATGAAGAGTTGTTTTTCTTTTTCACTGATAAATTAAATCAATCACACACACACACAAGTTGAATTTAATTTATGTGTGTGGTGTATTCATGTTAGGATAATTATTTATATTGGTTGTAGTCTCGTGTGGGACTATTCTACCCTGAAATTATCATCATTAAATTAAAGGGATATTTTCTAAAATAGGAGTAAATGAAGTTTGTAATTCTAAAATAGGACTGTTTTGTTTTTATTTCCAAAATGAGACTAACATGTAAGTATTTACTGTCATCTTATAGCCGTGACTGCCAAATAGTTGTAGTACAGTGCATTTAACATGTTAGTATTTATTACTCCCTCCGTCCCATAAAATAAATTCCATTTTCCTTTTTGGGCCGTCCCAAAAAATTGTTCCCATTTCCCTTTTTGGAAAATTTTGTGTGGCTAACATTCATTTACTTTTTTCTTACTCAACCACAACCATACATATCCACTTTATTCCCACTTTCTTAAACTCCGATCCAAGTCAAAGTGAGACTAATTTTCCGGGACGGAGGGAGTATAATTAATGACAATATTTTTCAATCATGACAGTATTTTTCATACATGACAATATTAACTCTTATATTCGGGAAGAAAAACATACTAGTCCTATTTTGGAATTTCAGGTATCATTTGCTCCTATTTTGGACAATTTCTGTAAATTAAAAGGCTTTAATCAATAATGTTAATCGAAAGTGTACTTAGCTTCCGTATATAGATAGTATGATTTAGGAAATATTTATATATATTTTCAAAATTAATTCATCGATCAACAACGTACAGGCAATTGTAGCTAGGGGCGGAGGTGGAGGCCGGGGTGGCCAACCGGACCCCGATCGAGCCCAAATTTTAAAATTGCTTATATTTTTAATGTAATGTAAAAATATATCTGTAAAAATTCTTTGTACCGGTTCCGCCTAACTCTAAGTCGGGCTTACGTCTCTGATTATTTGTAGCATGTGAGAGACTGAGAGTGCACTTTAATGACATATTTTCAAAAGGTCTTTGTTTATAGTACACATGACACCAATTCAAAAGGTCTCATACAATTTTATTATTGTACATCCATCGATTATATAGAAATTAATCCAATCTACATACGTAGATAAATGTGCAACGATGAATTGAAGAGGGTGTTTTCTATAATAAGAGTAAATTACAAGTCATCGTGGACGTACTGATTTTTTCTTTACAGCATATGAATTTGACATTTCATAACAGTTCCTGAAACAATGAGTTTATGAAGAAATTAAATCAATATTGATTGTTTGAGATATAGTCTTAGGACAAAAGTGAGCGTGATACCGAGACTCTAAAGAAAATTAATCCTTAATGAGACCTCTGTTCAACTTAATTGTTCATAATATTCTGATTGATGAGTGCAAATGTTAATGATTTTGAAAATTGAGAGCCCGTTTTGTGACCCCCTTTTTCGGCTTATCAGGTTTATCAGACCGATTTTTCACCAAACACGTAACTTTTGATTTCGCACGCTGAATTTTGTAATAAGCAAAAAAAGTAAGGTTTAAGTTACTTTTCTGGCTGTATTGGCTGAAGTTGCTGTAAAAGATCATTTTAGCTATTTTTCATATAATTTTTTATTTAATTTATTAATAACAAATATTTTAAATATAATTTTTTCATGAATCAACCAAAACAGGCACTTTAGCCAGAATTTTATAAATTTCAACAGAATCAGCAAATTCAGCCACTTTTAGTGTTACCAAACGGGCTCATAATGCAATGTCGAAAATAACCTAAAATATACTTCCTACTATGACAGTGAACACTCAAATTCCTACTCCCTCCGTTCCTATTAAAACTTCCAACGTTCCTTTTTCATCCGTTCCAATTAAAACTTCCACTTTCCCTTTTTAGTAAAAAAATTGTGTTTCACAACATTTCTTACACAACTCTCCACCACACAATACCCATTATCTTAAATTGTGTGCCAAACCTATTTGGAAGATAAAATAGGAACGGAGGGAGTACTATATTATTTTCAGTTACATTTATAGAAAAATCCCAAAATTTGATATATAAATTTTTTTTGAGGATGATTGTGTTGGACTCTTAATTACTCCGATCATACGCGTAATGTTGTAAAATTTTTCTTGAAGCATGCTTGAATGACCAAATAGTAAAAAAAAAAAAAGATGAAAAATGTTACGTTTTCGTCATCGCCTACAATAATAAGCCACAGAGAAAGACCAATCAAAACGGTAAAGATGAAAACGGAGGCAAAACAGAGGCCTTAACTTTTTTGAAACTTTACACCGTCGGAATGAGTAAATCACACACTAAATGATTAAATGAACCCGCAGAAAACCAGGAACCCATCACGCCCTGATCCTGAAGCACTTATTAGTCTGGTGGTGGTTATGGTGATGGTGGTGCGAAGTCTCCTTATCGATCAATCCCTGGACTTGGCGAAACTCCTCCACGTGGCAGGGGATGTTGATCAGGCCGTCGTGGTGGAACCCGTACTCTTCCTCCGCCTCCTTCAAGAGCTGCCGGAAACGTGGGTGGTTGAAGTAGTCGACGGGGACGATGAAGCGCTGCTGCTCATCCCCCTGCCCCACCATGATCGCCAGACACCCTCTCGGTATATCCTTCAAATCGTCCTTCCTACTGTTCCCCCCATGGAAGTGAATCTGAAACACGTTGTGGTGGTGGTGGTTCTTCTCGCCGCTACCCATGGCTGCCGCCGTCAATTTGAGGGCTTAATAGCTCGATTCAAGGAGGGAAATCAAGAAAGATGAAGAAGATTGGGAAGGTTATAAGGAGATGAGAGCGAAGGGCCACGGATCGGAGGCGGAGATGGTGAGATTGAAGAGGGTGAGAGAAGCCTCTGTTAGAGATCTGGGAACGTTGCTCATAATTATCTCTGATGAATCGGTTGGATTTGGGGTTTGGTGAGAAGGGATCGAGAAGGTCATTTATAGGTCAATTCATAAAATTAATTTGGTTTCTGTGCTATTTATTTAATTAATTAATTGGCATATATGGAGGGAGGGGAGAATCATCTTATTCTTGGACGATCATGCTTGATGTACTCACCCTTGTACACATCTTATACACATCATATTTGTGATTTTGTGAAGCTTATTTTGTCTGTGAACCCAATTCACAGATAATATTTTGTTTGTGCAAAACATTATATGTAAATCAATGTTCACAGACAAAAAAAGCTTTCACAGACATAGATATGAACAAAAGTGTGTATAATACTCGGCAGAAGCGAGTGGGTGGGTCAACTTATTATAGGTTGCCGTTTGCTTTTTTATTTTTTTCATTGTTAGTTCCTTTTCTTTTACGGAAAGAGGCTTATCGATGATATGACTTTTTTGTCAAATAAATGATAAAAACAACGACTTTCCAGTTTCCACTACTCCTTCCAAAATACATTTAAATTCACTATATAAATACAAAAATAATCCATCCAACTATATACAACTTCCGTTCTTAAATAATACGTACTACAAAGGTCAACTTTTCAGGTTTACCAAAACACAACTTTGATCATTAATATACGTAGTATTTGATTTTCTACTCCGTAATATTTAAAAAATTGAAAAGTTCATATCTTGAAAAATTTACGATGAAACAAATTTAACAATATTTTTTAAAAAATAAATTATTAATACATTAATTAATAAAATGTAGTCAAAGTAGATCGTGTGAATAATTTTATATATTGCTTTTATTTAAGAACATATGAAATATTTGTTATTACTGGTGAATTAACTCGCTTGCCTTACATGCTACAATTACCTGTTGTTGATCAATCAATTAACTTTGAAAATGTAAACATTTCCTCATCACTATGGTGTATATCCAACTAATTCACCTCATCAATAAGGTGTTTATGCGTACATATTTTATAGGGAAAACTTTGAAAGAAAAAAAATCAAGCATATCTTCAAACTTTGAAAAAACGTTCAATTGAGTCAATTAGTAGGTTACATGTCATGTCACCAAGTCACCCATTGACCCACCACACACGTGTCGGTCTATGTGTGTGTCACGTCATCTGTAAAGGCAGGACTAGGCTTCCACGTGTGCTCCACGTCACCAAAGTCGTTCCTGACTGGGCTGTCGCACATGTGCCACGTCGGCAGGTGACTTGGTGATGTGGTGAATAAGGATGTTTTTACTTGGACTGTAATTTGCTGGTCTGGTCTGGTTTAATCTGGTCTGGTCTGGTCTGGTCTGTTTTGGTCTTGTCTGGTCTGGTCTGAAATTTCATTTTTATATTTTTTGCATAAAGATTTTATTTTATTTATATATTATAATCCATAAATAATTATATTTTATTCATTTATAATTAAAAATAATAATACGAATAATACTAATAATACTAATAATAATAACATAACAATGATGATGATGATGATGACGATGACGATGACGATGACGATGATGATGATAATGATAATTTATTATTATAATAATAATAATAATGATAAATTTAAGTATAATAATAATGATAATAATAGTAATAATAATAATAATAATAACAGTAATAGTAGTAGTAGTAGTAATAATAATAATAATAATATTAATAATAATAATAATAATAATAATAATAATAATAATAATAAAATATGGTCTGGTCTGCTCTAGTCCGGTCTGAAATTTTATTTTTTATATTTTTTCATAAAGATGTTATTTTATATATATATTGTAATCCGTAAATAATTATATTTTATTCATTTATAATTAAAAATAATAACAGTAATAATACTAATAATACTAATAATAATAACAATAACAATGATAATGATGATTATGATGATGATGATGATGATGATGACGACGACGATGATGATCATAATAATAATAATAATAATAATAATAATAATAAAATTTGGTCTGGTCTGGTCTGGTCTATTTTAGTCTGGTATGGTCTGGTTTGTGTTTTGGTCTGGTATGGTCTGGTCTGGGACGAATTACAATCCAAGTAAAAACAACCTAACCTAACAATGAACTCAATTGAGTTGATGGAGTATATGGCCCGAGAACCCCCGGCCCACAGACTCCTACTACTCCAGCAAAAGGCCCAACGGGCCCAAAAGGTCCAACAGGCCCAAATCACAGCACCCAGAATACCAAGCAGCCCGCACTACGCGCCAGGGGTGCCTTCGGCCCCCCGGCCGAAGGCTCTAATTCTCACATAACAGGTTTTTCAAGCAAACTAAGAAACTGGGGGAAAACGGCGAAAACAGTCGCCCTCGGTACTGTGAGCCCTCGGCACCAGGGTGCCCTCGGTTGAAGGAGCCTTCGGCTACTGCTCTATGGTCGAAGGCATCTCACTCGACAAGATATCCGCCTCACATACGTACAGATCACCGTACTCTGCACAGACGTCCCATCCAACAGCCGCATTAAATGCGGCCACATGCGGCTGCCAGCGCCAACCAGTTGAGGCGACCCCTCGGCCAATGAGCGCTTGACACATGTCCCTGCCCGACATTTATTGCTGCTATAAATAGCCCCCCATTTCCCCATTTGTAACCACGCTGAATATATATCGAATACACACTCTCTCTCTTACTTGTTCGCTCTGACTTCTCTCTAAGTTATTCCCCGTAATAACCCTTCGGATATATACCCCCGGGTAGACTATCCATCATTTGGTGCTCTCGTTGAGAGGTTGAACAATCGAGTAAGAAACCCTCCCCCTCGACCAAACACAAAACACTAGCCCTCTATCAAAATGGTGAGGACAACACGTGCCAATTCAAAGAACGTAGAAGACAAGAACCTGCCCCTCGGCGACGTCAACGCCCCCGAAGCCTCTCACAGGGCTCCCGAGGGCGGTGTCATCGCTGGGCTGGAACAGGCGGCTGTCGACCTACGCCTTCAGATCCAACAAAATGCCCCCGATGCCCGCCTCGGCATCGAGGCCAAGAAGAAAAACCGGAGCGATGACCAAGTCAGCCCTCCGGTTCTCACCATCGACGTAAAATCGGCGCTCTCCTCCTTCATCCAGACGCTCACCCAGAACCCGGGTGCCTTCGGCACCCTGGCTCCAGCTCACCCTCAGATCGGGGAAAATATCATACTTCCCCCTCTGCCACACCCCTTCGTAAATCACACCCCTCGGGTGCGAAACGACGAAGGGGTGGTGGCCCAAGAAACATCCTCCCAGGAAGTTCAGTCCCGGGACCGCCATAATGACAACAGGGAGAGGTCCCGTACTTCCGCCCTCAATCGGCTCGGAGGAGGGCCAGACCGCCGAGGGGTCCAAGACCGCCTCGGGGGGAAAGCACTCCAAAGGCCCCAGGAAAGCGGGGGATCTGTTTCGAGGGCAGACGAGGAGCGTCCCCCTCGGGACAAGGGCAAGGCACCCCTTCATGCCGATGATGCTCGGCACCAAATCAACCAGGCCCACTCGGCCCGGGTTCGTTCGCAGGGGGCGGAGACCCTCCCGAGGGACCCCCAGGACGAGATTATTGCGGCCCTCCAGCGCCGGCTTGACGAAATAGAGTCCAACAAAGCTCACGCCACCACCTCCACCCCTCACTCAGATCTCAAATACGAGGCCATGATGGCCAAGATGGAGGAGTTACAGAAGAAGGTGGCCGAGGGCTCCGGGGAACCCGTCATCCAGCTCCGGACTCGGACGCCATTTACCCCAAGGGTATTGGCGGCCCGGATCCCGGAGAAATACCGAGGGCAACGCATACAGCCCTACAGCGGGAAAACGGACCCCCAGGAACATTACAGCAAGTACCAGAACAGCATGATGATGGTGGGGGCGTCAGACGAATATTTGTGTCGTTGGTTCCTCTCCACCTTAGAGGGACCAGCATACGAATGGTTCAACAGGCTGCCCGAGGGCTGTATTGATTCGTGGCAAGAACTCGCCCAACGATTCTTGACACAATTCGCCGGGAGACGTCGCACAAGGAAGCACTTCTCCCACCTCCTAACAATACGCCAAAAGAAGGATGAGACCCTTCGGGATTTCCTAGAGCGTTGGAGGACGGAGGCCGACAAGGTCGACGGTGCTGATGACGGAACCCTCCTGGCCCTCCTACAAACCGTCCTCCGCACCGGCAACTTTTCAAGGAGCCTCATCATTGAACCCCCTCGCGATTACATAAGGGCCCTGCAGCGGGGGGACCGGTATGTTGAGGCCGAGGAGGTGGAGAAGTATCATCAGCATCCGGACCAGCAGCCCCCGAGGGCTGACAACAAGCATAACCGAGGGCCGGGGGCTCCTCCAAATCGCCCCAAGGTTTCGGGACCCTCTGATGACCGCCCTCGGGAAGGCCAAGCTAAGCCCGGGGGAGGTTATAAGAGCAACCCTAAGACTTGGGCCCAGCCCATTCTCCTGGACCGCCCTCGGACACCACTGACGCACCCCGTCAGCATCATCCTCGATTTTGCAGAGGAGAGGGGTCTCGTTGAGCGCGATTCTCGCGCACCCCCGGAGGTACACGCTTTCAACCCTCAGTTCCCCTACTGTCGCTTCCATCGACACCAGGGGCACAGGACCGATGACTGCCATCAACTGAAGACGGCCATCGAGAGATTAATACAAGCAGGGCACCTGTCCCAGTTTGTCCAGAGCCCTCGGCAGGAGGGACCTTCTCACCAGGGGCCTCCCCGAGGGCATCACACGAAGGTGAACGCTTGGGTAAACCCGAATACCATCCCCCTCGGCAAGAAAAGGGAGATCGGAAACTTGGAAGAAGAGGAGGAGGAATACCCCCACTACCAGGAGAAAAAACGCCACATCCTCATGATCACCGGTGGCAATACAGGGGGCGATTCCACCAGCCAACGAAAAAAGTGGGCTCAATCGCTTTACGTGGGGGAAGTCACTCATATGCCCCCGGTAAAGCGACTGAGGGAGGAACCCATCACCTTTACCAGCGCGGATCTCCCTCCTACTTCTTCTCCTCACAGGGATGCCTTGGTGATTCGAACGGAGATCAACGACACCATCATTCACCGAACATACGTTGACACGGGCAGCTCCGTCAATGTAATGTACCTCAGCACCTTCAGAGAGCTGCATCTGGAGAGGGGGTCCCTTCGGCCCATTAAGACCCCTCTCACCGGCTTCACCGGCGATACTATTGATTCCGAGGGGGTAATAACCCTCCCGGTAATCTTCAGCGACGGTCTCCATAGAGCCCAGCTCGAGGTGGAGTTCGTCGTCGTCAAAATTGACTGCGCTCACAACATCATCCTCGGCCGGCCAGCCCTCGAGAACCTCGAAGCCATCATCTCCATGAGGCATCTCTGCCTCAAGTTTCCCGCCGAGGGGGGCATTGGCTACTCCCGAGGGAACCAAAAAATTGCCCGCGCTTGCTATCTTCAGGTCACTAAGAAGGTCAGCAAGACGGAATTTCGTGTTGACACCATCACCG